ATGACTCGGCAGACACACACACACACACACACACACACACACACACACACGTTTCTTGATACAATGCTGCCCTTTATAGGGCACACTCCTGATATTTTCTACTGTATTCTTTTTGTTTTATTAAAGTGCTGGCCCAGCCCCACCACGCTGCTCTAAGACACAGGGAGCTGGGCATGTCTCCTTTGGGAAGCTCTCCCTCAAGCTAACTAACCACCCTCCTCTCGGAGGGGTGTCTGTTTAGAGAAAGAGTCAGCCTGTCCTGGCGACGCTGGCAGAAGGCAGTGCCTGCAGCTGAGCAGTGGCCGGTGGGTGTTCCATTATTTAATGTACATCCTTTCTCCTCCTCACCTTCCACCTCCCTCCAAAAGGAGCAACTCCAGCCACCTCAGAGAGGCCCCAGGAGCCGGGGGCTTCCGGGCACCCAGCCCCCTACAGGCAGCACCCTGCAGCCTCCCCCACACTGCTGGCTCCTGCACACACACTCCCCTCACTCTCCTGACACCCGGATACATCTGAGTGGAGATCTCTGGGGTGCCAGCCCGGCCCTTCTTCCCTCTGTGGATGGTCCCTGTGGAGGAAAGGCCATAGCAGCCACGCTTGCTTTCCCCCTCAGGTCAGGCTGCATGCAGGGAGGGCAGGGACTGGTCGCAGGGGTGTGTCAGATGCCCATTCCCAAAACTTCAATCAGAGACACATGAAGTGCTGTCAGTTTGTGTTGGTGCCGAGGCTGGAAGGATGGTTAAAACCATGGCCTGGGCAGGGGCCATCGTGAGACAGTAGCCCAGGTAAAGCATGCTCACAGAGGAGGGAAAACCTAAGCTTCCCTAGGAGGGGAGGGTCAGGTGTACTGAGAGGCGGAGGCCAGGGATGCCGAGATGCCAGCAGGGAGCAAGGCTGCAGTGAACACTCACTCTCCATTGAAGCCACACTCCTGAGTGCTCTGAACAGCACCCTCTGTGGCTTAATATGACTATACTTAAAACCAGCATAATCCGCAAGGGAGAATCAGAGATGGGACACTGTTGGACACTCTGAGTCACATGTCACAGGAGCCCTTAGCACCCTGCAGCCACCTGGCCCCGTTCAGCCACCCCAACTTCCCCAACCATCCAGCCACACACTGCACCTGCCCCACCAGGGGCTGGTTCCAGGGACCCCCATGGACAGGGGTTCTTCCAACTCAACATCCAAACCACCTTTCTTTTTTGTGTGTGCAGAGGGTAAGAGGGCTGGGAGTGTGGTTTAAAACAAAAGCAAAAACACCCAAACCACTCCTTAACATCCACAAAATAGCTAATTCGCAAACCTTCATTTTTGTCAATTTATTTAGAAAAAAATTAACATGGGCAAATGAGATACCTCAGTGTTACAACAGAGTATAGAAATGTCTAGCAATAGTCAAATAATTTGATCTTTAAATACAAAATAACCACATGAACACCTAATATACAGGTTTCATCTGAATACATATTTATTAGATAAATATTAGAGGTTGTCACATCATCTAACTACATACAGCTTTGCAAGACTAGAAATCACAATTAGTTTTTTGACCAGTTTAAAGTATGAAATGATTGCATTGTACATACGATGTACAAAGACGATGATGGTTTCTGTGGGAGTTACTTCAGGCTGCACTGGTGGGTGTGTTTATGTGTGTACGTGTGAATCACCTGTGATCATGATATCAAAAATTATACAAAGTATGAATTTGGTTACAATTTTCTTCTGAAATCCCCGTTTCTTTTCATTATTTCCATAGCACCCTAAAAATACACAGGTGGCAGGACTAGTACACTGAAGCTAAATAGTACATGTAGGTAAAATAAAAACAGAACAAAAATCCCTTTCCACGCAGGGTCAGAGTATATTACATGAGCGAGAGAGACAGACGTGGAGAACTCACAAATGCTATAACCAACAGGATCTAGTTTTTCCACGTGATGGAGTTCCAAGCTTTTTTTTTTGTTGTTTTGTTTTGTTTCGCAAAATAAAAACAATACACATTCCAAGAGAAATGAATGCATCTGTTGACACGTCTCTATTTCTCATTTACATATGTACACACGTCCCTTGAGTCGCTGCTGCTGACACGGCCCTGTGTGGACGGGTCAGGCCCGAGGCCCGTCGGGAGCAGACCTGTAGCTCTCTGGGGGGTCAGGGCTTCCATTAGGGAGAAAGTATTAGCAGTTTCTTAAAAAATAAAATGGCTACAGGGAACATGATACATGGATAAAGCTTCAAACCAAGAAGATGGGGGTGATTGCCTGTACTTGGCCCTTCCCGCCTGCCTGCTGGCTCCCTGTCCATCTTGAGGAGTGGGTGGCAGAAACATGCCTGTGGGCCGGCCGGGTGGATGCTTGGCATGGAAAAGTGGCTTGCAGAGGCCTCGTTTTTGCTGAGGTTACTTATGGCTCCAAGTAGTCGTCCGAAAGGATCAGGGAAGGATCTCTCCAGAGCTCAGGACCATCTCTGCTTATGGGCGTTGTCTACCTGCACCTGTCACAACCTGGGGCTTGCTCCCGCCCCGGGTGCCTCTGCACCCTGGCCTGGCTCCAAGAGCACTCCTGAAGAGCTTGTCTCCAGACTGCAGGCTGTAGGCACCACACACGGTTCAGAGCCGGCCGAAAGGGAAGCTCTGGGCCGAGCTTGCTGGTGGAGGCTTGCTGGAGAGGGGACCCAGGAAACCTGCCTCAGGTGCTGAGCCCAGAGATGTTTGCAGGAAGTGCCCGGGGCCTGGGCTGCAGGGAGCATCTCGACTCTCTGCACTGGAAAGCTGTGGATCCGCCTGTGAGCAGAGTGTGGACACACCCTGATTAAGAACCAGAATGAACCCCAGGCCTTTCTGGGGCAAAGTATCAAGGCAGGAAGCAAGAACTCCTAAGGAAGGCATCTGTAAGTCTGTCTGGAGCTTAATTCCCAGATGGTCTGACACAGGGCGTGGCCACTTGCCAGGCCACAGACACTGGGCAGGGGTGGCCACATGCTACCTGGCGTTGGCTTGTCCCTGCCAGCTGACTGAGGGATGGCTCTAAACGGCGAGCTGCCCGGTCTTCCAACTCCCAGCACAGCCGCCCATTCTGTTTGCCCCTTTAACTGTACAAATAGCCCTGGTTGCTTTTATTGTTTTTGTTTTAAAAAAAAGAAGACTCGGTCTTTGTCATTGAGTCCAGGTATTTTAAAAACACCAGCAAAGGCTATAACCAGGTCATGAAAATGTTGAATATTATCAAAGACGATACTAAAATATTCACAAAGATATTTACAAAAGCGATTCTTAAAATAATTGATTTGCATACTGAACAACACACTATTTGAAAAAACCTCGATAACAACGGGACAAAGGAAAAAAAGGGGCTGGGGCAATGGCAGCTTTCCTACAGAAAACCTTGTGCCGTCTGGGACAGTGACTGGAAGTCAACAGCTGGGGCCACCTTTCCGGTAAAACCCACAGAGGAGTGCTAGGGACCACCCACAGTGGACGGGAGAGCAGAAAGAGCCCCAGGCAGCAGCCAGGAAGGGTGCAAAGAATTTACAGATGGGACCCCTGAAACAAAGCGAACACAGGACAAGCTCCCCAGGAGGCCCTGGAGAGTAGTAAGCCAGATGGAGCAAAGCGGTTGAGGGAAGGCCAGAGGCTGCTTTTGCTTGAGTGAGCAGGAGTGTGGGGTGAGATTGTGATGGTGGAGGAGTGGAGGCAGGGGAGGCTGGCAGCCAAGGGCAGTGTCTGGGGCAGGCCCAGAAACACGCCCCCCTCCTCCCCCCATGCCTGCAGGTACATACTAGTGCACATGGCCATGGCCTGGGCTGCAGCCGGGGGTAGCTTGGAGCACAAGGACAGAGGGAGGGGCTGGACAGACACCATTGCCCTGGGCTCCGGTTTTTGCACCTCCCCAGCCTTTCCACACACTGCCCTTGCCATCTGATTGGACAAAGAGAACTAGGACACAGAGGGAAGTGGGCGTCCCACGGAAGTCTTGGAGAGGTGGCAGGAGAGGGACTAGGAGAAAAACATAACACACAGACAGAAATGGTTTGCTTGCTGTCCAAGCGCAACGTTCCTTTTCTCCAGGTGACTTCATAGCTTTAAATCGTTGCTGTTTAAAAAAGAGAGTGGCTTGGAGCAAAGTTAGAAGTTGCCGCTCCTGTTTGATTCTGACAGGTTATATGCCCCCGCCCCCCAACCAAGGGCACAATCACTTTGGTTGGGCGCACACCTGCTCTCTCTGTCCCCCAAGGCTGGGTCCTGTCTGAGCTTGGAGGTGGAGCCTCAGAGATGTCCTGGCCCTCTTTCCCACCAGTCCCCAAGCAGGAATGGCAGACTCCCTCTCAAACACAGAATCTTGTCCTTTTTCTCTGCTTTCTGAGAGAGTGTGTTTATGGGGTATCTTGGCTTAAAGTCAGGGGTCAAACCGATGACCAGTGGCCCCCGAGAGACGTAGTCTTTCCCAGAGGTTTGTGCTTTTCTGTGGTGGGTGGTGGTGGGCGGGCTAGTCTCACTGCCACCAACTGCCAGCGCTCCTCCAAGGCTTGGGGCCCACGATGGGGCCCGGGGGCCTTCTCAGGCTCCACAGTCACTTAAGGGAGGCTCTGGACCAGGAAGCAGGGAGGCAGGGTTACAGTCTAAAAGATGGAAGAACCTTGGGGACACTGGAAGGTCATCTGGAATCGGCACACGCGGAGGGACCGGGAAGCCACATCGGCGTGCGCCCTCTTACCGGGCTGGTTCCTCTCGGGAGGGTGGTCTTCAGGCCTGTGCTGGACATGGGCCCAAGCCCAGGGCGTGCAGGTGGGACGGGGACTCGACCCACACAGCCTTCCCGGCGCACCCTCCCTACCCCTCTGTTCTGAGAGGGCTGCAGCAGGGGAGGGTTTCCCGCCCCACAGCCTGTGGCTCTGGTGCGGGGCGGTCTGAGGGCACAGGCTCCCAGGTGGAAAAGTGTGTGGGGCAGGTGGGGTGGGAGGCAGAGTGTGGAGGGATGGCCCCGACTGGGTGGCCTTCAGTTGTTCTCAAACAGAGACAGGAGGTCATCGTTACTATTGCTCGGCAGGTCGGGGGGGTCCAGGTAAGACAGGAGCTCGTCAGGATTTGTGAGTTCGGGAAGGAGCTGGAAAAGAAGGAGTGATGAAGTTCAGATGAGGTGTGCCCGAGAGGCAGGCCCCGGGTGAGGAATGCAGGGGCGCCCTGGCCCGTCCCCCTCCACTTGCCTCTCAGGACCCTAGCCAAAAAAAAAGGGAAGAGAACAGCCTTGGGCCTGGGCCTGCCAGGCATCCCCACACACACACCAGCCACTGCACTGAGTGTGGGGCACCCCCGTGCTCATTTCAAGCCTGGGTAGTGGGACCCGCAGCCCACCAGCTGACGCCTGAGCAGGGCTGACCCTTTTCAGGCATGGACTTCAGCCCTAAGCTGGGAAGGCCCCAGTGGGTCACTTGGGCCTCCCAGCTGAAATCACATGCTTCATGTGTAAGCATAAGGAGGTGGGCTGGTGGGAAGGCGGGAAGGCGAGTGGTTCCCGCAACCCCCTACCCACCATCCCTCTCTCAAGGGCTCACCGCTCCTTGGTGAGCCTGTGGCTGGCTGGCAGCCATCCTTCCCTGTGGCCCCAGAGGGGTTGCAGACTGTCCCTACCCTCTACTGAGATATCCTTGGAGTCTGTCACATGGGAAGCCTCATGCATCTAAAGGCAGCCCCACTGGCCTGGCTGAGGGGGACACTGGGCGAGGACCTGAGATGGCTGCGCAGTGAGTGAGTCCTAGCTAGCACAGAGCCCTCTGATGCTGCTGGAGCAGAGGCTGACAGAGCAGGGCTGGGGGTGAAGAACAGGAGTGACTGACGACAGGCCTCCTCCCGGAGCCTGGCACCAGCTCTGTGGTGGGCATGGGAGGGGCCGGTGCTCGGTCCCATCCAGCCAGTCACATCCAGCAGCCCAGCCCCATCATCCAGGGTGACCCCCACCATCTTCCGGACTTCAGGGTAGGATCCCTGGCCCTCTGCTGCCCATGCTGGCCTGCCACCCCTGGCTGTGACCCAAGGTTGCCCCCTCTGCCCCCACCTTCTGTCACCCACATGGGGGTCTCTCGGAGTGAGCGATGGAGCAAGCGGAAGCAGGGCATGGACAACACGCGGACAAGAAAACTGGAGACAGACACACACCAGTGAGGCAGACAGACGGCCTCTCCCTCCAGCCCTCCCTGCCCAGGCCAGAGAGGCAGACACAGAAACCGCAAGCTCACCACTGGGGGAGGGCAGGGACCCTCCTGTGCTGCGCGAGGGACCCCGCAGGGCTTGGGTCAGAAGGTGGGTCAGGGCTGGGGTTCAGGGCTATGGCCAAAGGGACTGGGGGGACAGGAGCCAGCAGGGTGGGGCCCCTCAGTGGTAACACTTCCCCGTCATGGGGCTTCCTGGTCTGGAGCCAGGTCTGGCTGAAGCCCTCCCGCCGCCCACCCACCTCCTCCCCTCGGGGCCTTGAGCCCTCACACCCACCCCTTCTCTCGGGCAGGTCCCGGCGCCAGGCCTAGCCCCAGGCCAAGGCGAGTGGCGACCCCAACTTACATCCAGCGAAGGCTCCGGCATGTCGGATGCTCCCTGCGCTCCGGCCTGACCCTCTAAGGCTGAGGAGGGGTTAAAGGTCAGGTCGCTGTGTGGATGGCTGCTGGGAGCGGCCTGTGGCGGCTGCCGGGGAGGCTGGGAAGGAGGAGGAGGAGGAGCCCCACTGTGATGTAATGGAGGCCCTGACTGGCTGCTGGGGTGTGGTACGTGCAAACCTTGTTGTATGGAGGGGTGGGGCTGGTCAGAGCTGCCAGCGTGTGGCATCTGTGGAGGAGGAGAGAGCGGGAGAGAAGAGAGGTGAGGTGAGGAGGCACGGCGACGATGCCTGGAGAAAATGAAACCCAACACAACCAGGGAAGTCACAACCCCCGAAACGTGGCCACCCAGTATGAGGCTGAACGTTGTTTCTGGGCAGAGAAACAGAAAAATTTCTCCCCAAAAACCGCCCATCGAGGAGGCTGCAGGGGGACGGCGGGGACCTCCCAGGCCACGTGGGGCCCCAGGAGGTGGGGAGGGCTTCGACACAAGCACAGACACGGGGAGCTGGGCCTGGGCTCCCCCAGGCCCCTCCGCCTCCCCGCCCAGACAACGAACAACAGCGAGGGCAGGATGGAGAAGCAGAATGGGCATGTTCCAGGGAGCAGGAGGCGGGAGGGCGGCTGCCGCAGCATGGTGCAGACCCCAAGCTGGGCAGCAGAGAGCAGACACAGACAGACAGCATCGGGCAGGCGTGCGGCTCAGGACTGGGTCTGCACCTCCCAAGTGGGCCCTGGGCAGGGGTGATGCTGGGCACGAAGGCACCTTCTGCCAGCCCGAAGTGTGCAGCAGCTGGGGTCTTGGCACAAGCCCTGCAGCCTGGGTGGAACCTGGCTGTCAGAGGAGCAGGGCTGGGTGGGCACCTGGCCAGCCAGGGGCATCTTCACACCCTGCCAGACCCTTTTCCTAGACATCCTACTTGGTCGGCACCAGCCCTCAAAAACACAGGGTTGTGAGGGAGGCAGGCACCTCTGGCACTCCAAGGACAACGGGACTGAGCGACGGTTCACCAATGGTGGGTGTCTTGCTGAGGGTGAGGCTGGCGGTGCCTCTCTAACAGATGAACTAGAGGACTCACACCCTCCCGTGGGCATGTGCACTGAAAACTGGGCTGTCTGTGGGTGGGTGGGTGAGATGTGAACATTCCCCTGCTAGCCTGCTGCTGTCCCAAGCAGACCCTCCTTCAAAGTGAAAGGCTGGGGAATCCTGCAGACCAAGCCCTGATCCCACTGCAAGCATCCCTGACAGCCCCCAGCCCCATTTTCACTCTGCCAGTGAAGGTGGCTCACGGATGCTCCAGGTGCTCCACTGGAACAGCAGCCTGGCACATACTTCCTTGGTCTTTTCGTCCCCTCACCCTGCCCCATCCTGGGGCATATTCTCCCCGTGTGCATTTAGAATTCGCAGCCACACCATCCTCAGTCTTCGCCCAATTCCAACTTCCTCTTCCTATTTCTCCTAAAACTGCTTCCCAGGCCTTGCTACGGGCCAGTCTCTGCCCACGGTTCAGGTGGCCCCTTCTCAGGGTACAGGGCCTCAACCCAATGTGGCCTTAGGGAGCACAGTGCCCTTTCAGTCCAAGCCCCAAGAATGCGATGACCTTGCAACTGTGATGCTGGAGACCTTGGGAGACCCATTTATAAGACACATACAAGAGGCTGGAGGAATGGGCCACCACCCATGGTCAGTGAGAGGCCAGCTTGGGGCTCCCACTCCTGTAGATGCCCTCAGTGCCCACCCTGGGAGAGCAGGGAGGGCTCCACACTCCAGCTGTGCAGTCCAGCTCAAGACAGACAGTCCCTGGATCTTCAGAGGCAGCTGTGCCCCTCAGCTCCGTACCTGGCTGGAACGTCTCTGGCCTGGAGGGGCAGGTGCTGTTGGAGCACTGCTGACACACCTGTCAACCTGCCACCATGTATGGGCAGTCTGTGGGGGCAGCAGTATCTGGTTGGAGCGCTCTGGCCAGTCCCTGCCAGCATGGCAGTGCCTCCCAGCCTTGGGCTCAGCTGGGGGTGTGGCTGCCTCCACCTGGGCAGGTGTGGTAGGAGTTTACCTGTGACTGCCCTGCCCCAGCGGCCTGGCGCATCTGCACTTCCAGGTCTGCTTGCCCTCTAGTGAGAGCTGAGAAATGGAGGACAGGACCATCTAGAGAGCATCTTAAGGGGCTCCGAGGTCAACCACAGGCTCAGATCCCGCCACACAGATGCAGGCAGCGGGGCTCACAGAAGACAGGAGAAAGCTCGGTTGTCAAGGGGAAATAGACAGCATTCCCACTCCATATTCCAGTGGTAAGAACTGGAGGGCGCAGGATGTGTGTGTGTGTGTGTGTGTGGGGGGGGTATGATTTTGGTGTCCTCTGGGTGTGGGATGCCCTCAGGACCCAGGAAGGGGCACCAGGAAAGAAGCCCCCAGAAATCACAAGCCCCATGGGGTAGAGAGTAACTTTCAAAAACTTGGCCAAGACTCCACAAAGCATCTATTTCCCACTTGGACTCCTGGGGTCCTGAGGGAAAGTTGCTGCTCCCTCACCTAGAGTCCTGAGGCAATTCCATGTCAGGTGTGTGGAAGACAGTATAATCCAGAGGCTCCTTCCTGTGCAGGCCACCCAAGCCCACTGCCAGACACTGGCAGGACCCCAGGCCCTCTCCCTGGCTTTTGTGGCCCAGGACCCACAAAAAGCTCAGCGATGGCCCCTCCTCCCTAAGATGAGAGCCCAGAATGACTGAGACCTCAGACACACCACTTCAGCCTCTTGAGGCTTCAGTTTCTCCAAACCCCAACTGTTCTTCCTGCACCCATGCGCTGCCGGGAGTTTTGCTCCATTAGCACAAGGCCCGTCTGTCCTGCTTACACCTGTCACACGGCCTGTGCATAGCACAGCTCAGAAAACATTTGTTAAACTGAGTGGAACCACGTGGAACTCACTGGATGAGGACTCCAGGGGACAGGAGGGCCTCCTGCCACTGCCACTGGGGCCACAGGAAGGGAGGGCCTGTGGACAGCACAGGATAACTTACCCCACCAGGGGCATCGTCAGCCACACAGGGCATATGTCAGTAAGTGTGAAACAGAACGAGAAGTGAATGCTCTTCAGATAATGAGACTTCCTAGCATTTCTTTTGTTGGAGGTGGTAATACCCAGAATTCAGATCCTTGGGGAATAAGGGGACAAAAGTCGAGGTGGCTGGAACCGTGTTAGGTGAGTGTAAGAGTGTGCAAATGGGAGAGGGAGAGGGCTGATGGCGTGTGCTGGGTACTGGCGAGTGCATGCACGTGTGTGTGTGTATGCGTGGAGGGGTGAGTGTTTGGGGAAGAGCCTGAAGCTTCTTCCATCTCCAGAGAATCCGAAGTCCTAGGTAAAAAAGCCAAGTCCAAGGACGCTGACAGGCCACGAGCTAGCCTCAGTCAGACCCCTCCTATTCCCTTCTGAGCCCACACATCCAAATCTTCATCCTCTGCCTTGCCTGGGAGGGAACAGGGTATCCAGACCCCAGGGCATCAACCCCAAAGGCTGGGGAATGGGGTGGGGTGAGGAGGAGGTACTCACAGTTTCCTGCATGGGGTGGCTGAGGGGTTTCTCAAGGGCGGCCATGTTGTTGGGCATGTCCGGGGGATGGGAGAGTTGGGGGGGCCCGTGCATGAAGTCATTCATGGATGTCCCTCCAGGGTTCCCGTGGGGGAAGTCAAAGTTGCCATGGCCTTGGTAGTTGTTGCCTAGGAAGGGATGAGATGGGGAGGGGAGAGGGTCACCCAGAGAGAGAGTGTGGCCACCCCAGGGAACAGAGTGTGTGCAAAAATACAAGCCAAGTCCTTTTCCTCTTGCAAGGCTGCAGCTGGCCACAGCAGCCTGAGGCTTCCGGGCTGTCGGATGGAGTAGCCACGCAGCCCTGTCCCATGCTGTGGTACCCCAGGGGATGTGCTGCCCTTAGAGTTATGGAGGAGGGGGCAGAGTGGGAGAAAGGGGGAGGGCCAGGTTCCTGTGGGGAGTGGGGGACACAGCCTGAGCCAATAGCAGACCCGCTGAGCTACTCCCCAATGTGGGCACTTTTCACACCCAGCAAGACTCAGGCCCAGAGTGGGTGCAGGTTCTGCCAAGCCCACAAAGAAAGCTGCAACAGACTCAGGATGATGCGCGCAGAAGCCAGCTGTCCCGCCTCCCTGGTCACTGTGCCCTCCACCATGTGACGATGGCAAGGGTCAGAGGATCAGCAGGTTGGAAGGCTTGGCCCTTGGCACACTGGGAGTCTAGCTAGGTGGCCTAACTTCTCTGGGCCTCTCATGGGGACCTAAGATCAGGGATCCCAGCGGGAGCTGCCACCCAGTGGGGAGTACTTCCCAGGAATCAGTGGCGGTAGGGGTAAAACTTGGTCTGGGCAGCTGGGAGTATAAGGGCCAGTGTGTGACCTTGGTGGCTAAAGGCTAAGGCTCCAGGAACCTTGACTCTGTCCCAAGGAGGGCAGGAAAGTTGCAGGGAAAATGCAGATATCACAGAAAAAATATAGGAGGGCAGGGGGTAAGGCCAAGAACTCAGGTGAGTGTGTGCTGTCAGCAGACCCGGAGGAGACTGGCTGGGAAGAGGCAGCAGTCGTATCTCCCACCAGGGCAGGCTCTGAAGTCCCTGGGCTAGGCCCATGTACCCTTAAGTCTAGCAAAGTGGGGATTGTTTATTGGGGGGCATGTTACTTCTCTCTCTTCAACCACATCCCTGGCCCCTGCCACCATCAGCACAGAAATTCTGTGCCCCTGTAGGGACTTGGGGCTGCCCTCCTTCTCCCTTCTTCCCTGCCTGGCATCACCCACCTTGGCTGCTGTAGTCGTTGGAGTTGGTGCCCCCCGGGGGAGGCGGGAGGGGGTAGGGAGACGGGCCGGGGCCCAGGGCTGCGATCATCTCCATGACGTTGGGCATGATCATCTGGCTGGGACTCATGGTCTTGAACCGCTTGGAGGGGATGCCGTCAGGGTCGTCCTTGATGTGTAAGTCCGACTTGATGGGCACTGGCCGCCAGCTGCACGTGGGATCGATGGTGACCTCTTCAAACTCGGAGCTGGGGGAGGAAGGGTGGCAGAGCTGAGGCTCCGGGGTGCCTGGCTTTGGGCATAAAAGCACCTCCAGCTCGGATAGACCCTAAGGTGACCTTGTTGAGGCCCCTGCCCCAACTCTGACCACACTGTGGACAAGGCAGAAGCCTGGCAGGGATTTCTCCATATTTCTTTGACATATGGGGAGACTGAGGCTAGAAAAGCAAGTGGCTGGGCACAGGGCAGCTGGTCTCAAGGCCTCCCGCTTGGGGAGCAGCAGGTGGAGGGTCAGGGCGGGGCACTGTCAGCCTCCTGCTCTGGCTGGCTTTCATCCTTTCTGGGAAGTTAATTTGTCCCCAGATCCAGAGGCCCCTGAGGGTAAGCGACAGAGAGGTGGAGGATGTGGGTCACGGTCTGCTGGCCTGGGAGGGGAGGGCTGTGTCAGGGCTATCCACGTGCACACCTTGCTCTATTCCAGGCCTTGTCCCCTCTCACCCCCTGCCCCTCGATGGGGCCCCACTTACTGTTGGATGGCATTCAGGATTCCCCACATGTACTGATCCACCTCCAGGCCCTCCAGCAGAGCAGTTTTACTGGAAAAGGAGACGGGGAGCTTGGCCTCTGCTCCAGGACCCAAGGAGGTGGGGGCACAGCCCATCCACCTCAGTGTCAGTGGGGTCCCACCCCTGCTGCTGGTTACTACTGGAGGCACAAGAAAGGGGGACTCTGACCGCGTGATGCCAAGGGACCACCTGGAGCCCCCATAACCTAAGCCCCTCTGCCATGTGTGGGTTCTGGTTTGCATTTAGGGCAGGTGGAGGTGGGAGGTAGCCAGCCCCTCCCCTCTGTGGTTGGGGGATGGGGGAAGCCCCCAGCAGGGTGGGCATCACTCACTTGCACACGGGACACCTCCAGGTCCCTCTTTCACAATTCAGCTGCAGGTACGACTCCAGGTCAAAGCACTGCAGGCAGGCAGGCAGGCAGGCAGGCAGGCAGGCAGACAGACAGACAGACAGACAGACACGGGTGAGACCAGGACTGTCAGAAACTGCCTCAATGTGCCTAAAGGACCCTTGGAATAACTTCCCCACCAGAAAGATAGATAGGCTGTGGGAGAAACCCAGGGTTGGGGCTGAGTGGAGTGAAAGCAATGCCACGTTTCTACCACACAGTCCTTACGCCTCCACCCCAGCATCCCTCACACCATCTCCCATGCCCCAAATGACCCTGTGCCTACATCCTCTGAGAAGCCTTCCTGGTCCCCACCCCAGCTGACTCTCACTGTTTTTTGCCCTGTAATAGCCCCTTTCAATGAGGCCAGGGGTAGCCCCTTCAGCCCAGCCCAGGCACGGAAGACAAGTCTGATCAAGTTCATCGATTTGTATCACACAGCTAAGGTGACAGACCATCCTCTTGCCCACAGCATTCTTTTGGAGGGAGGAGAGGAAGCTCCTGTCCCACTGCACCCTCAGGACCAGCTGTAGGTGACAGCCCTGGGCCTCTTCTGCATGCCCACCACACCCAGGTTCCAGAGGACAGCTCCTTGTTCTTCTTCCAGGCTGGGCTGCCCATGTTTACTCATTGCTCTGTCACTGCCTGCTCAGACTGGGACTGTAACTCACACCAGGGCCACTTCCTGAACACTGGCTTGATGCAAGGCCCTGGACAGAGGCATGAATTGGACAGTGGTGTCCCTGCTCTTGGGCCCCCAATCAGCCCTGCCATGTGTGTGGGACTTCCAACTGGCATCTGCCATCTGCCAGGGCAGGGGCTATCCAAAACCATTTCTGTAGCCCCTTTGGCCTTAAGCACACAGAAAAGATGCTCAAAGATAAATGATGGCTGAAATTAATGAGTGGATGTCAGCTGCTGATCTCCATGACATCCTTCTGGACAGTGTTTGGACAGGCCCTGTTGCCCCTCTGCCTACCCCTCACCGTCCCAGCCAGAATCTAGGTGGCTTGCCAGAGCTGTGCTTTCTGGGGAAGCTCACCTGGACATGCTTGCAATCGTGTCCTCGAGCAGGCAGCTGGATGCGCCGGAATGTGATGGGGCACTTCAGAGACACCTTGATGGCTGTCTGCTCCACCCCATCCTCCCCGTTGAGGGTCGTGTTGCCCGAGGAGGCAGCCACGCTGCTGAAATTCCGCTTGACTGTGGGGCAGGAGGCACAGACAGGTGAGGATGGCAAGGCAGTCCTGCAGAGGTGGGGGGTCTGCACATGCTCCCCACTTCCTCGTGTAGCTGGGGCACGTCCTGGTCCTCCTCCCAGCCCACACCAAACACTGAGAGGGCCCACAGTGTGTCAGTCATAGGGCTGGGTGCCCGGGCTGCTGTCTCCATGTGGTGTGTGTGCGCCCGAGGAGGTGGCTGCGGCAGTTCCTCTATCTCTGCAAAGCAGGCCCTGCCTTCGCTAGGAAGGGGGATGTCTGCAAAGCTCACGGAAAGTCGGTCTGGCACTTCTCTGTTTTACTGGGTCAGTGAAAAGCCCCCTCAGGCACTCCTGCACTTCACTCTGCACATGTGGAAATGGAAATGAACAGCTGCCTGCTGGAATCCCAGGGCTCAGGGCAGCAACGTGAAGAGTGGCCCTGTACCTCCTGCACAGGGCCTCTGAGTCCACACCCGGGGTCTCCTTTAAATGGGACTCCAAGCCAAGTCATTCCATCCCAACTTTTTTTTTTTGTGGCAGTGTCTTGCTGTGTCACCCACATTGGAGTGCAGTGGCGTGATCATGGCTCACTGCAGCCTTGACCTCCCTGGCTCAAACAATTCTCCCACCTCAGCCTTCTGAGCAGCTGGGACCACAGGCACAAGCCACCACTCTTGGCTGATTTTTTATTTTTCTGTGGAGACAGGCTCTCACTATGTGGTCAGGCTAGTCTTGAATTCCTGGACTCCCTCCTCAGCCTCCCAAAGTGCCGGAATTATAGGCATGAGCTACTGTGCCCAGTCCTCTCCTGAGTTTAAGCATGAGCTGGCCAGATGTGGTGGCTCATGTCTGTAATTCCAGCACTTTGGGAGGCTGAGGCGGGCGGATTGCGAGGTCAGGAGATCGAGACCATCCTGGCTAACATGGTGAAACCCTGTCTCTACAAAAATACAAAAAAATTAGCTGGGCGTGGTAGCGGGTGCCTGTAGTCCCAACTACTCGGGAGGCTGAGGCAGGAGAACGGCTTGAGCCCGGGAGGTGGAGCTTGCAGTGAGCCGAGATCGCGCCACTGCACTCCAGCCTGGTCAACAGAGCAAGACTCCATCTCAAAAAAAAAAAAAAAAAAAAAAAAAGCATGAGCTGTTGAGGTAGAGAGGCCAATCTGGAATCCACCCTCCGTGTCTTCCACCTGATGAAGATGCCCTTTTCTGTAAATCCTCTCATCTTTTAAAGGCCTGGCCCAGGTCTTCACCTCCTCCAGGAAGCCTGCTTCCTGACATTTTGTTTTAATCTGCCTCATGTGCTGCTGTTGCAGGTATGCTTGTTCTGGCTCCCAAGCTGGACTACCAGCTTTTCCACACAGGGCAGGTCCCAGAACTCCCACCAGCACTTATGGCCCCCAGCTTGTCTGGTCATGACAACAGCCCAAGGAGGAGGGCATGAGCCTCAGGATGGGGCATGCTCAGGGACACTCCAGGCCTGGTGGCGACATGCATGGAGGCAAATGTCAGTCCCAGGTGAATGGTGACTGCTTCTTAGTCCCAAACTCAGGCGGGGCTGGGGTCTGGCCCTCACTCCTTGTCCCCACCCTGACTCACTTTTTGTGATACAGTGCTCTGCGGGCAGGAGGCGCTTCTTGAGGAGTCCTTGCAGCACAGAGCGGACGGAGGGCCGGTGCACCAGCTGCAGCACGAAGAGGTGTGACTGCGGGGAGAGAGCAGACACTCAGTTTCTGCACACTGTCATCATGCCCCGCCCTCCCTGCAGCCTCAGCAGCCCTAGACTGCTCCCAAGATCCCACAGCCGGCCTAGGAGACACTCCCCCAGCATGTGTCCTGGGACTTGTGAGCCTGAACACCACTCTGGAAAGGCCGCCTCTGCTGCAGATCGACAAGGTGGACTTTGACACTGAAATACTCCCTGGATAAGGTTATAGGACACATGACTTTAGGCCTGGGTTCCACTTCACTTCCTAACCTCCCCTACCACTGCCTTCCCATCATGTGTCCTCAGCCCTTCCAGCCAGGGTGCTCATCCCTCGCTTCGCCCTTCCAGGAAGCCTTCCAGAACGCACACCCCAAACGTCCACCCATCAGTTGCCTTACTCTGACAGTTGTGCAGCCTCACCCAGTACATCACATTCCCCAGTCGGAATGGGATGTGCTGCCCAGGTCTGTGGCCCCTGTCTCTGTGTGGGCTCTGTGCCCGTAAGCTCACAAGGGCAGGATCAGAGTGTTTCCTTCTCCATGCCCCTACAGAGAGGCCAGTGGAGCGGGGCAGGCATTTACTTCCACCAGGGCCTGAGCAAGCCCTGTGTGTTGGGCCCTGAGCTTCATGGCACATGAGGGTGGCTGACAGCTGGTCCTAGGTAACAAGTCACGGGTTGGAAGGACCCCCATACATGACTCTAAGACAAGAGGGTTGGGAAAGAAGGGAACGCGTTAACTCCAGGTTTGGGGGAGTTGGATCTGGGGAGAAAGGTGCTGACAATGACAACTGCTGGTGAATGAGGCAAGCAGGACATGGCTTCGAGGAACACGGAACCACACCAATGAATGAAGGGCAGGGAGGAGGGGCCAGGAGGGGTGAATCGGAGGCATAGGTGGAGAACAGATGGAGGCCTAGTGTCCGGGGGAAGAGGCCACATCTGAAGCTAGGGCATAGTGGCTTTGAAGGCCCAACGGTTTGAAGGTTAATGCACAGGCCCTAGGCAGGGAGCGGGTAAGGGCACACTGTATCTTTGGTGGCTGTGGGCACAGGGGCTGGTGACCCAAGGACAAGGCTGAGGACCAGAGGGGGGCAGGGTGTCCCGCACTCCTACACTGTGCAACAGGGACTGCCCGTGCCACCGCTGTCCCTAGCCCGCCACACTCACGCAGCAGCAAGCCGTGACAGTGATCTGGATGGTGTTGCGACCCGGCTGGCACACGTGCTTCAGATGCAGGGGCTTGTGGGAGGTCTTGTTGTCGCCGCGCTCAATGGTGAGGGGCGTGGCGTTCACGCTGACCTGCACCGAGGCGGGCCAGTTGGTGTTCATCTGCCGGTCCTCATGGTGGTAGCACTTGAACTGCAGCTCCAGGTCAGACCTAGGTGGGATACGGGGGTGCTCAGGGCAGCTCTGCCAGGGGGCTGTCCATGGCCTCTGTGACCCCAAGCCAGGCCACACACCTCTGAACGCACCACAACCTCCGAGATCCTTAGGACCCCATCCCTGACCCCAACGGTTCCCCTACCCTGAGTTCTCCTCTCCCATTCTGGATACTCCCTCTACAACCGAACTGCCTGCAAGATCCCCGCACACCAATCATTCCCGCCATACCCCACAGCTGCTCTAGCTCCCATCTCCCTGGACTGTCCTTCCTGTAGGGGTCAACTCTTGGCTCCCTAGGTCAGAGACAGAGGAGCAAAAGAACAGACACTCATTTGACAAGACCTGCTGTGAGGCCAGCCAAGCCCGTCTCCAGACCTGCTGGGAACTGTCCTCTCAGGCCATGGCCATTTCTGGTTCTGAACACTCCTCAAGGAGGCCCCCCAGGACGCAGCACTGAGGAGTGTCAGGAACCAGCAGTGACCACGTATGCGTGACAACCAAGCCGGGAGGAGGAGGTCTCCCAGGCCAGGACGCTCCCAGGTAAGAAGCGTGGGTAAGCAGGGTGCAGGCAGGCAGCACAGTGGTTTGTCCCGTGCCAGGAGCCTCTGCCCTCCTGCCTGAGTGTTGCAGCTCCTGTGTTCTGAACGCCCACACCAGCTATCTGTGGCCACCTTGCCCAGCCTGGTCAAGAAAACAGCAGGGGTGTGTGTGCACATGCCAGGCACAGACCCAGCTCTTGCCCTGGAGATGCTCGCTGGGCAATCGAGGGGGTCTGAGTCACAAGCACAGTGAGACAGTGTGAGTCTTGCCTGAGGATGAAGGACTGAAGGGTGGAGACCCCTAGGGTTGGTTCTGGCATCCTGGAGACCTGGGCCCAAGTCCCAGCTCTGCCCCTGGCTAGCTGTGAGAACTCACACAAGCCAATTCACTTCTCTGGCCTCAGCTTCCTCCTCTGTCAAAAGGGAAAGTGTTGCCCATTTCCAAGATCAAAGTAGGTCACATGTGGAAGGTGCTGAGCATGGGCCTGGCTCAGCAGGGAACCTCCGGACCTTGCGTTCCAGCACGTGCCTAAGTGTCTGAGCAGCAGCCCTGCCCAATGGTCAGCCCCTTGCAATAGGCGGGGCCTGCCTGACCCAGGCCTGGCCCCTGCGCCAGCATCATCTCTGCATTCCTGGCTCTGGTCACCTGAGTCACACTCGAATTCTTGACTGCATTCCCTCTTGTCAGCTCACGGTCTCAGATGGGATACACAGCTTCCCAGCCTAGGTCTGAGCCAGCCACCTTTTCCTCTGGGGTGAGTGACAGTTGCTCCCTGCCCTTAGGCCATGATACCTTTACTGCTCATCTCCCGGTGCCCCTGCAGACTTCCCATGACAACCGCAGGACAGGGCCCAGTCAATGATGCCGAACACGTGAAGGTGACAGAAGATGCTGCCACCACCTGCCCAGGGCCACACTCGGGCCCAAGAAAGCCATCCCGGGGATCTCCTTCATCCCGCCGGGGCTGGCGCCCCTGCCCTGACACGCACCTCCACATCAGCGTCTGGTGGACCGTGGGCCGCAGGTGGAACACATGGTTGCTGACAGCCAGGTTGTGCTCCAGGCGGAAGGGCTCCAGCACCACGCCATCCCGCACGGGGAATGTGAGCCGCAGCTCGTCATTGTGGTTGGCTGGGGCGAGGAGAGGAGGTGGGTGAGCCACAAGCCCCAGCTGCCATGGGTTCCTGGGCTGTGGGTGGGACTTGCTCACCCTGGGCTGCACGCTCAGAGGAAGGCAGGGGTGTGTAAACAGGGCCAGAGACACAGCCAGGCCAAGGGCATACCAGTGAGTCATGGCTTCTTCGATTCTACACGGCCCCACCCCAGCTACTCATCATCTCTTCTTCCACCCGCCTCCCTGCCTCCTTCCATGACTGGGTAGAGATTTTCCTCCCAGCCTCCAGGCACCCAGGCAGCAGTGAGAAGGGCTGTCTGTGGGCAGCCCACCCCTCCTTGAATGTGCCCCTGGGTACCTCACCTGCTCTCAAGTCTCTGTCCTTTCTGCATGCCCAATCCCCAGGCAGCCTGACTACTAAGCCTCCTGCTCCCAGCCCACTGGGGGGCCCAAATGGAGCTGCCCAACAGAGGGAGGTAGGGCCCTCACCTGGGGGTGGCGGCAGAGCGCTCATATTTGGCTTGATGTCAGGCGGGAAGGGTGGTTTGACGTCTTGGCTGGGGGACAGGTATGGAGGGATGCTGCTCCCAGGGGTCATGGGGGGTGTGGGGTTCCCTGGAACAGGCGAGTGGGGGTAATTTGCCACAGGAACCGGCCTAGGAGGCTGGAGAGAAAGAGAAGACACACATAGGTTATGGGATCCCGGAGACAGAAGGGGCCATGGCTATGTACATACACTGCACTCACCCCAGGGGCCCGGGGCCATGCCCCTCGGGAGGAGAGCCTCCACCACAGAAACCCTTCTCTCTCACAGATCTCTGTCCCGCTCAGAAGACAGCCTTGGGAAGGGCCTCCCCACCCTTCATCTGGGTCTCACCCCTGAGCTCCTGTGTCAGGTGCATGTGGAGACCCTTACCCATCCATGTGACAAATGGGGACACAGAGGCTCAGGGTCGGGGGTTTGCTCAGAACAACCTTGGAGGACAGGACAGCGAGAATAAAGCCCAGGCCTCCTGTCACCCGACCAGGTGGGCTTCAAACATCACGACTCAAGGCCACACCCTCTATGCCTACCCATCAGGGTCCCCAGATGGAGTCGGGGCCTGCAGAATCTGGGGCCCAGGTTCCCCAGGAGTCCCTCTCCCTCTTCTTGTTTTCAAGACCAGCCAGGCTGACACTTTACCCTGGGGCCCACCCCACCTGGAGCTGTGGATTATTAGTCCTGAGCATCTCTGTCCCCAGCACAGGGGACCAGGGAGTGCACCCCCACCCATGGGCCCCTCTGAATGTCCAGAGAGGCTGGAGCAGGAACAGTGAGAGCCTTTAGAGGCAACAACTGCCTGTGGCTTAGAATTTGTAAATTAAATCGGAACATACCCTGTTGACGTTCCCTTGGCTGTAGTTACTGTAGCTGCTTCCCGAGAACGTGTTGTTTTGTCCATTAAACTGCTCTGGCTGTTAAAACAAGATAAACAACGCTGAGTGGGGGGCAGAAAAGCCATCAGAAGTCCGCTCTGCCTCCGGACAGTAAAATCTGGGATGCTACAGGGGCCCATCCACTGCTGGGCTGTGGAGGGAGCGGGGCGGCACAGCTACACCTCGGCAACAGCATTTTGCCTCTCTCTGTCCCTAGCTATTAATTTAGCAGAAGTTACAAAAAGAGCAACACCTAATATGCTGAAGTTGGAGCAAAATGGTAAACCTGTTCAGTGGATGGCCATAATAAATTAGCATGATTTTTGGCAAATAAATGTAAAACAGTAAAGTGTCTTCTTCACTCCCAAGAACATATTTTATAATAATCCTAAGGAAAGGAAAGGCTATATGCCTAAAGATACTCATCATAGTATTATTTCTAAAGTGAAACATCAGAAGCAACCCCAATACCTAACAGAGGGAATAATAAAATACGATACGGTGATCTCAGCAGAATATTAGGCAGCCACTAAAAGTAAAAACCCCAGGGGCTCTGGCGGCAGTAAGTATCATTCTTATTATTTCATGTTAAGTAAAAGGTACAGATTCAAAGGTACAGCTGTAATAACAATTTTATAACATGTTAGTGCCCACCTGCACATAGAGAGACAAAGTTTAGAATGAAATGTTAATATATACAGGGCGTGTGCTTTTTTTTTTTTAAATAAAATATATTTCCTTTATTATTTTGTGAGTGCCATGAATAAGAAAAGGAGAGGAAAAAAACCCCATCATCCGAGACCAATGAGAATAGGAACTGAGAAAAGCCACTCTGACATTCTGGCCACCAAACTTCGCCCCAAACACATGGGGACGTTCAGAAATCACCCACGCCTTGCTGTCCTTGGGGCTAACACACACAGGGTCAGAGTGATCCCGGTGGAGTTAGGGGTCTGAGGTGGTTAGTAGGGAAGGGGCCCCGTGGGTGGTGGCGAGGCTGGGACTGACCTTGTAATACTGCCCCATGTTGACCGTCGGGGGCGGGTACTGCCCGGAGCTCGGCTGGCTGGGCATCCTCTGTCCTGGGTAGTTGGGGGAGGTGAGTGGCCTCGGGGGGTTGGGGGTTGGGTACTGGCCTGGCTGGGTGGGGAACTGGCTGTTTGGTCCATATTGCTGGTTTCCATAGTTGGGCTGTGGTGGGAGAGAAAGGAGACGGGAAACACGTTCAATGTTGCCAATGTCACATAGCCAGGTCACCTGAACACTGGGCCGGGGCCCGCCTCTTCTCATTTGCTCCTGCTGTTTCCCATCCACAAAACCAGATGATGCTTGAGCCCGTTCTCGTCCTGACATCCAGGGGCATTTTGTTCTGCCTGTCCAGCTCACAGGCCACCTTCCCTTGAGGCCGTTCTTCCTGGAGCACATGCGCCCCCTGAACTCCAGGGACACTTTCAGAGCCTCTTGCTCACACCATTATGAGGGGCCTGATTCTAACTCCCCTTTGTGTCTCTCCTGGCGCCTGGGTTAGGGCTGTGCTCCCCAATGGGTACCCCAATGTGACAGGAGAACACAGTCAATAGGATGAACTTCCAGAAAGGAACCCCCTGTGCCCCTGCACTCTGAGGATGAACCTGGGTGGCATTGTCCTCCTACTCCCCTTGGAGCAGAACACACACCTAGTGTTCAGTTCTGGACCATCGACAATCTGCCACCTGTGCAGGAGGTGGGAGAGCCAGGTTGGTGAAGGAACAAGACAACTTCTCCCAGGAGAGGCAATTTAGAGAAGAGAGAGCACTACCCTGTAGCCACCTTCCCTGTCTGGAAAATCAGGTGACCCTCAGGGCCACATGACATCCTATGAGTCAGTGGTTTCTTCTTCCCCATCTGAGTGGCTCTCTTGCCTAGAGGTCCTGCTGGTGGCTGTGCCCCAGTGCCTGACAAAATGCCCACAATGCTTACTCAACAAATGAATGATGGACTTGGGGATAAATGTCAGAGAGTGTCAGTGTGGAAGAATCTGCAACTCATGTTGTAACATGGTGGCTGCTCTGGGTGACAGTAAGGCATCGACCACAGGAGGTGCAGAAGACGTAGCTGGTGCCTACCTGCCACCTACCTGCCCACCAAGCTAGAGAAGAGAGTCCTCTGTGGGACCAGATGACCCAACCCCTGTCCTAAGGTTCCAACAATTCAAATACTGTGTGAGCAAGCCATGGCAAGGGGAAGGCAGGCCAGTCTTCCCAGACAGGATTGGGCCACACAGGCTGTGACCACCCAGTGCTGGAGCTGGGTAGCAGCAGCATTCTATGAAAAGGATGATTAATGTAGTAAAAACACGGAGAGCCTTTGGTGTGCTCTCTTTAGGCAGGCAAGAGCCATGAGCATGACACTGGTGCAGGTGCAGGGGTGACACCAATGACCAGGAATTCCGCTGAAGCCTTGTCCGAGATTGCCTGCTTTGCTGTCGGCTAACAGATGCACCCCCAGCACAACCAGTGGGACACTGGGATTTTGGGCACAGGGTGGCTGAGAAAAGGCCTAGAAACCGCATGGGGGCTGTGTGCCAGGAGAGGTGCCAATAGCTTGAGGCTCCCCCAAACTCAGGACCCAGGAGCCAATGGTCTTTCTCTGGCCAGCATCATTTTCTGAGGGTTCACTTGTGACACCCTCTCCAGGAAGCCTGCCTTCTCTGACTCACATTGAGTTCTGTGCAGTCTGCTACGCTTCATTCCCTGGTGAGTCTCGGCTCAAAACTTTTCTTTCCTGCTAAAATCTCACTTCCCAGAGGGCAGGAGGTATGGATTTTACTTCCGTAAATCTTCCCCAGCACCTTGGCTGAGCTGGCTGTGCAGCCCAAGAGGCAGTGCCACTTCCTATACAGTGACGAAGTGTGGATGGAAAAAAGAGCTAAGAAACACGCCGCCTGCCTTCCAGTCACTTCCCTGACGGGTCAGTCCTTATAGACTGCAAACAGCTGCCTGCCTCCTAGTCACTTCCCCGAAGGGTCAGTCCTTATAGACTGGAAACAGCTGCCTGCCTTCTAGCCACTTCCCCGACGGGTCAGCCCTTACAGACTGGAAGCATTTTGTCTCAGCTCTCTTTCTTGGAGAGGAGTTGGGGAAGTCTTCATGGGGGCAGGAGGAACTAAACCCAGGTCACCCAGTTAGTGGCTGAGCCAAGACAAGAGTCACTACAGTAAGAGGAACTGCTGCTTGCTGAGCGGCGGCATAGGCCAGCCCAGGGCCAAGCACTTCACGCACATCTCCTCAAGTCCCTCAAGCAGTCCTAGGAGGCAGGGTGATTTGCTTGAGGTCTGCCAGTTGGGAAACAGTAGAACCAGGTCTCAAACCCAGAAGCACCTGACCGCTAAGCCCCTGCCCCTTTGTCCGAGTGTGCTCGAGTCCAAGACAAACCCCTTCCAAGGCCATACCCACCGCCCACATCTTCAAGCCCAGGTGTCCCAGTTCCCACCTCCCGGCCTCCCACTGCTGCACTCACCTCTCCAGGGTATGGCCTCTTTATGTTCTGAATAGGAAGGGACTGGGGCCGGGGGCCCGGGTAGGTCTGCTGGGGCATCCGCTGCCCGTGCGTGCCAAAGGGGCTGATGCCGGGCGGCCGGGGCTGGTTCATGCCCATGGGAGGGCCGCTCATCCCCGAGGGCGTCATGCCAGCCGCCATGCTCGCGGGGTTCATGCTGCCCCCCATGGAGGCAGGCCCCCGTGGCCCGGGCTGGTTCATGAATTGGCTGTTATACGCCTGGGTGGGACCCATCTGGAAAGAGGAACAGACCTTCAACGGGAGAAGAAAAAAAAAAAAAAGAATAAAATGCCACATGCATTGAAAGTGCAGGGAGGGAAGGGTTGGGGAGGTGGAGGGGTGAGGAGGGGGCACTGTCCTGTGCGGCAGTGACTGGTGACCAACCAGGCCCCGGGGGAGCAGGATCCACCCAGGCTCACTGCTGCCCTCTGCAGCCGCACAGGAGAGATGCAGCTCTGGGGTGTTAGGGGATGCGGTGGGGTGGGGTGGGGCGGTCACTCCAATGCACAGGCAGCATTTCCAGGGAGGCAGGCAGGCAGAAAATCAGGAAAGGGTGCAGGGACAGGGAGGGGCATGGGAGGGTGGAGGTAGATGAGGGTGGAGGCAGGAGCCCGACTGAGACTGCAGCCCCTTTCCTGGAAGCCCTGGCCCTGCCCTTGGTCCTGGGCCAGTGAAGGCACACCCTCCATCCACAAAGTCAGCCTCAGCCCAGCTTCCACTTCTGCCCCCGCTGTCCTGCAGTCCCCACCTCCTCGCCTCCTGTTCTGCATTCCTATGGGGGCTCCTCCTCTCCTCATCCCCCAAACCACCCTTCAGAAGGTCAGGGAGCAGCACTGGGGCCTGCGCAGACCCATGGATAGGGTGACTAGGAGGGCACTGGTCTCAGAGGCAATCCAGGAGACAGATCGGTCACAAGACTAGTTTTAGACATTGAGCCCACTCTTTGGTGAGTAGGGGGCCCAGAGAGCAATGTGGAACCTTTTCCTCATATGCAGTAGTACACGAGCCACCAACACACAAACACCAGCACCCAGATACCCCACCACACCCAAGCACATGGACACGCCCCATTCTAAACACAGACCTCCACATGCTTCCATGGAAGCCCAAATCCACCCTAATGCAGTCAGCTCCCCCAGCACACATGGCCCCATAAACAATGACACTCCAACTCTGCTTTCCCAGGGCTGTCTGCTTGGCTGGCTGGGCGAGATTAGTGGGAACCCTTACCGGTCCATACTGGTTTATATCCTTGTTCTGTGTCTCCTGCAGGGCTGCCACAGTGGCCGTGGCTGTGGCCGTAGCTGTGGCTGCTGCTGCTGCCACTGCCGCTGCTGCAGCGGCTGCCGCGGGCTGAGTGAAGTCAGCAGGCGGCCTGGTGTGCGGAGGGATGCCCATGCCTGCGGGGGCGTTAGGACCCCCAGGGTAACTGCAGGGAGAGAAGGGTGGAAGACTTAGGTACTGCCTGCATCTGAGGGGAACCGAGAGCAAGCTGTGGGCTGGGAGGGAGAGGATGGAGCTGCACCCAGAACCTAGAGGGCCTCTTGGGATTGGCAGCCATTCATTTGTGCCACTTGGCAATGACCACACTGCTGTGCTCCTGGAGCCCTCAGGGGTGCCTGCACCCTCACTGCATGCTATCGGGCCCCAGTGAGCCCATCTTCTGAAGGACACTGCGTCTCAGAGAACCTGAGCAACTTGCCCAAGGCCCTCCAGCATTGATGGCAGAGCTGTGGCTGCGGCTGCAGGTGTTTCTGATCTCTGTGCTTAACTACCAGGTCATACTACTGTGCCAACCCCAGGTCAGAAACCCAGCCAGGGCTGGCAAGGGTTGAGGCCAAGGTGGGGGTATGAGGCAGGGCAGAGCGGAAAGAGGAGAATGGGTGCCTCTGCTCGCCTCACACCCCTCCCCAGAGCTCCAAATCCTGCGAGTCCTTGCCGCTTTCTCCTGAGCCAAGGGACTCGCAGTCTGCATAATTCTGCTTTCACCAATCAGCAAGGCAGAGCAGATTTTCCCAGACCGTTTCACTGTCTTTGGGCAACTGGACCCCATCTATACCTGCTCTTCGACTTTCCCAATCCAGATCTTCTCAATACCTTCCTATTTATTAAAGACACAATTCAGAGAAGGGTCGTTTTGAGGTTTTGAGGAATAAGAATGTCACCCTTCTATTTCCACGAGCCTGATGACTGTCAGAACACAGCCCAGCTGCTGTAGCGCCTTATCTGCAGGCCAGCCCTGCGAGCCAGGGATGACTGAGCCCCTTCAACTCACGGGACAACAGAGGATAATGTTTAGGGCAGAAAGCGTGGAGCTGGGATTTAAGTGGGACCCTCCCCGTTGAAACGAGGGAGAGGGGCGGGGTCCATGGCTTCTGCCACAGGTCAGCCCTGCTCACCTGGCCCCAAAGCCCCCACTGCCGGGGTAGTTGGGCCGGCCATACATGCTCTGCTGGATGTAGGGCTGAGCAGGGCCAGCCTTGGCTGAGAACTGCTGCTGCTGCCCCGCAAACTGCGGGGAGTTGAGGCCGGGGTTGCTGGTGGTCATGCCCGACGCCATGGGGTTGCCGCCTGGATTCATGGGGTTGTTGGCATTGGCCATAGGGTTCCCAAGGACCTGTGGGCAGAGAAAGTGGTTGTCACCTAAGGTGCTACCCCAGGTAGCGTGGAGAGGAAGGGGGATAAATGAAGAGGGGAAAGGGAGAAAGAACAAAGTGGAGGCAGGGAGGAGGAGAAAAATGGAGGGTGGATGAACTACTCCGAGTGTACTGGTGATAACAGTGGGCCTGGGCGGCAGGTGGCGCGGGGGATGAGAAGGTCAGCCTTGTGATGGAACAAGCTGAGGGCATGACCAAGCCCCACAAAGCCAGTTCAAGCGGTCCCCAGGGGCTGGGCAGCCCCGTGAAGGGAGGAGAGGCTGCTCCTGCACCAGACGCCAGTGGGGAGAGCCCTGGCCATGCAGCCTACTGCCCCACAAACGAGCCTGGATGCCAGTGTCTCGTCACACAGGGGCCCCGAGGCCCCTGGCTGCTGCTCTGTGAGGGCCAAGAGGAATCCATTCTGCTGGCTCTGGAGGGCAGCAGGAGCAGGCAACAACAGGTCAGCCCAGTGGCTCCCTCCAGGGTGACAAGCAGCCCTAAGCCTTCCATGTAGCCACAGCTAAGTCTAGCAGAGGTCAGACAGGTGGGAGACCCCCTGACTGGGCAGAGGAGGAGTGGAAGAAAGGAAGGAATGAGAGGGAGGCGGGTTTGACTAGGGCAATGGGGGGTAGGGAGTTGTCAGAAGTCCAAGGCACAATATTTTGATGAAATCTAACTCACGCCACACATAAGTTCTCCTGTTTACCAGAGCAAATGGGCTAGGGAAGAACCCCTTGCTGTCCGTATGATGAATGCCATTCCCCTAGAAAGGCCTTAGGATGGGGACAGTCCACAGAGGCTGCCCTCCTGAGGTGGGTACAGAGCCTGCCAGGGGTGGAGACGTGTCCACAGCTGGGTGTGCCCTGGAAGCCCGTCTTCCCAGCAGGGCAGGGCCTGGGAGGGCGAAGAGGGTTGGTATGGCTCCAGGGGTCAAGGGACACTCCCACCTAGAAGGAGCTGTGGCTGAGGGCAGTATAGGCTCTTACCTGGCTCTGGGATGTGTTGGTCACTCCCCAAACCGTGGTGACCACGGAGAGGGAGCCGGGAGGCTGGTTGGTGTTCTGCTGCCAAGGGACAGAGTCATAGGGGAACGACCCATCACTGCAGAGGGAGACAGAGGGAGATCCTCAGGGCCTGGCAGGCACAGACTCAAGACAGGCCATGCCCATCACCCCAACAAGTGACCGCAGCTCCCAGCCAGTGCTAGGTAACCCCCATCTGAGTCAGTACTGGACCCCCAGGCCCGTCTCAGTGCCCAGTGCACAACAATATGCCCTGCATGGTGACAGACTGTTCAGAAGTGGCCACCGTTCCCAAGATCACTGCAGAGAGCTACTTCCACGGCTGTGGGTCTCCCCGTAGGCCTGAGTCCACAGGTCATGCAACCGATGAAGTGGTGTGACCTGAGGCCCAATCTGAGCTCCTCCTTCACTGGGGCTCTGACTCCATGTGGCCCTTTAGGAAGAGCTTGGGCTCTCCAAAACCACCTTACTATTGGAACTGCTCGGTCCCTCTCAGTGCAGGCTGGAAGGGTCCGAGTCTGAGGGTGTCAGCCCTTCCCTCTGCCTCCCAGCCCTTCACAGCAGCCTGGCTGCCTGGGTCATGGGAATTCAGGCTTTCTTCCAGCACCCTTCCTTCCCAGCCCCCAGCAACATGGGTACAGGCCTACCTGCTGCACACCCTCTCCTGCCCGCGCCCTGATCTCTCGTGTACATCCCTCCCGAGCTCATCTCCCTCAAACACCTAAGATGCCTGGCACAATTAAAGACCTTTGGTGGCCTCTGGCGTTTAGAAGGCAGAGTCCAAACTCACACTTAAGAATGACTTACTCCTCTGGCAGACCCCACCATTGCCTCACCCCGCTTTGGCTCTGTCCTCTCATGGAGCCGCCCCTTCCCCTAAACACTGCCTCCTCTTTACCAACCAGGACCATATTTTCCCTGCTCCCCTCACCAGGTCCAGCAGTACCCACATTTGTGGACATCTCCCCAAGGAGCTCTCAGACATCAGAAGCAAGGAGTTAGCCTTCAGCCCTACCTCTTGTGCTCAGGCCTACAGTGAGTGTCCAGTGATGCTTCCTACCAACCACTTGGGTGCACAAGAGTGAGGTCAGCAGATCCCAGCAAAGGGCAGGGCATGAAGACCTGCCAGGGTGCCAGCCCCCAGGAGTCTGGGGATGAAGCTGCCTCTCCCACGAGAGCCAGCACTGGCTCTCTGGCACCACCCTCTCACCAAGTCACAAAATTCTAGACGTGGAACCAGGAGGAGCAGAAAAGCAAAGTGCCCACAGCTGTGACACTGCCTCTACCCAGGGCACACAGGGTGTGTGTGTGTGTGTGTGTGTGTGTGTGTGTGTGTTAGGGGAAGGAAATTGGGAGAAGGGATGGGCAATGTGGCTTGTGTCTGTCTTAGTCACAGGTGACAGCAGATGGCAAAGGTTCTCAGTCACACCTGGGAGACTTGTACCCTAGCTGAGGGGCCAGTCCAACCCTAGCAGCCAGGGCAACTGGGGACGGAGGTGTTGGGGAGGCACTCTGGGGATGCAAGGAGCCCAGCCCAGAGGTAAGGACTTCCCAGAGGGAGGCAGAGGGCTGCATAACCTGCAGGCAGTAGAGATCAGGGCAGCCAAGTCTTGTGCTCTGCGCCTTGTCCAGCTGAGCTCTTGGCAATGCTGGTCAAGTCAGATGGGCTCCTGCAGAGGTGACCAGCCTGGAGGGCAGGACCACGCCACTGTCTGCTCATACTTGCCCCTCCCCTGCCTGGATACCCTCTCCCCTAGATCTCTTAGCCTGGCCAGCCCCTCGCTTTCTTCCTGTCTGAGATCGCTGGAGGGGCCTCCCCTGCCCTCCTCGTATAAAAGAGCAACTCCTACCCGACACTGCCTGCCCCCTCACCCTGGTACTGGAATTTCTGTCATGGCACTCCACCACTGTCCTAGTTATATATTTATTTGATTACTGTCTGTCTGCCTCTAGAACAGCTCTGTGACGGCATAGACTTTTGGGCTTAGGACCCTGGTGCAAGTTTCTGCACTCAATCTCCTCATCTGTAAAATGGGCATCAGATGATACCTCCACTCTACTCTGTGTTTTCCAACTGTGGGTCACGGACTCTAAGCAGGTGATGACATCCAACCAGCAGGGGAGAAAAAAGAATCAGCTAGAAAGTGACTGAGTGTGAGCACACAATAAAGATGAATATTAGTCCTTGAGATTTCGTCTTGGTTTTATACACAAATACATGTGCACCTTGGATCAAGGTGTCGTATGTGTATTTATCGTGGATCTCGGTCAAATAAGCTTGAACACAGGTTCGGCAGCCTAAGTCTGACGTGGCTCAAAGAGGAGAACGCAGTCAGAGGGCTTGCCCAGCTGAGCGCTGCTCGTGATTTCTGAGGAAACTGCAGGACTCGCATTTGGAGTAGAGGAGCTATACTCAGGGCACTCAATTGGCCAGGCACGATGAGGAGTGGTGGCTCATTGGAGATCCGGATGCCTGGGCCAAAGGTGACAGACGGTGACAGACTCTGCTCTCCAGGTGGCGGATTGGAGACTGGGAGCCCAGAGGGAGTGGGCAGTGCAGAGAAACACAGGAAAGCAGCAGTGAACCTGCTCTTCAGGGAGGCTGGGCTGGAACAGCCTCTGTCTCCCAGGGAGGTCACTGGGGACCCGGAGCACCACCTGGTTCCAGAACTGGCACACCAGAATCTCACAGGGAGGATCTACAGGTTATGCTTGTACAGAACGAAGAGCAGATCCCCTGGACACCTGCTGCTCTCAAGGCCCATGTCCTAGGTGTGCCGGATGACCAGAGGGTCCCCCGCAACTGAACAAAACCCAAGCCTGAGTGGCTTCTCTCCCCAGAACTTGTGCCCCACAAGTCCCCACCAACCCTCCAGGCTGATGGCCTTCAGACCCAGGTTGCTGTCCTTTGAGAACATGCCTGGCCAGGCTCAGGAAGTGAACCCCTGTGGGAACGCCCAGGGGCCGGCAGGGCCCTCCCTGAGGCCAGGGAGTGGGCAACCGCTGCCTTACCACCTCAGCCCGGGACACTACACAGGCCCATGAACAAGCTCCCAACTGCCCTGCAGCTCCGTGGGTGAGCCTTGTGGGCGGAAACCAGCTCCTTCCTGTTTCGTCCCCTCTGCCCCAAACTTGGTGAGAAGCAAAGCTAACCAACGTTCCCAAACTGGGCATCCCACTGCCTGTCTGGAAGGTTTGCTGCCCCAGAGCAAAGATGCACACAGGCGTATGGAGGACACGTCCATGCATCCACGCAAGGCCCTGCTGGCATGCTGCCCGTGCACTGGGGAAGAGACAGGCACAGCGTGTGGGGCGGTCTCAGGACTAGCTTGCCTCCACACACACCTGCTGCAGAAGCAGAAGTGGCAGCCGCACCGACGGGACTGTGACTCATCTCATTCTGGGGGAGACGGGCTCCTGCTGTCGCAGAGAAGGCTCTCGCCCCCGCAGGCCCCCCCAGCAGCCCTGCTGATGTGACGCCACTGCCTGGACTCAAGATACCACCACTGGGGGAATGCCTGGTCCCTGTGCCCAAAGATGAAGGACCAACCAGACTCCTGGGCTGCTATCAGAAAGGCAGGGCGTGGCTGGGATGCGAGGAGGGTCTGGAGGGTGCCTGAGAGCCCTTCTTCTCTCCAACAAGCAGTTTAACCTGCAGACATGCTTGGCCTGGTCACAGGTGCTTGACATTTTTTAATAATTCTGGCCCACTCTGTACAACCCTAATCCAGCATGGCCTGCCCGGTATCCCACCACAAGCTCCTCCCAGCCACAGTCCTGTCCAGCCAAAACTGCCCCAACAATCCTGCTTCACCCACAGAAGCACCAAGGCCAGAAGCCACCTGCAATGTCAGCAGCAACGGTTCAGTGTGCCAAGTGCTCCCTAATACTGGGGCCTCTGTGCCTCTTCTCAGGCTGGCAAGTTCCATCCCACCTTGAAAATGCCATTCATCCTTCCCAGGCTCTTCCAAAGGCCACTTCCTCTGGGAAGCCCTTGCACAAGGTACTGAACTCCACTGGCTCTTCGCATTCCTGGCAGGAGTGAGAACCCTCTGCCTTCTCCCTTCTGCCTCAGGAGCTGTCACTGATTTCTTGGGCTCCCTGGGCCCAGCATGATGTCTTCACACACCAATAGGGCTCAGGAAGCCTTTGCTAAACAAAAAAATGTGCCAGGGAGAAACCACCTCTCTGCATTCACCCTTGGAGGGATGCTGAAAATGAATATGTCCATTTCGTTAAGCCTGACCACTGACCACCTTCACAGTGTGTCTGTGGTCACATGGCCACTGAGGCCCAGGAAGTGAGAGAAGGACACAGAGGGAAGCGATGAACCCACTGCTCACTCTCTGTATGCCTCAGCAACCTCCTCTGTGAAATGGGGCTGATTCAGCCCCTCCCTTCGAAGGCTGCCATGAAGGTTAAGTGTAAGTGCCTAACACACATGAGGCCCAGAGTCCTGCACAGCTTGGACACCCTGAAACTGCTGGCTGCCGCTGTTACTGTTGTTCTGATTTACTGAGTGACTTCTAGATGCAAGGAATTTTGTGAAGTGGCCTTCACCTAAGAACTCATCCAGTGCCCCATTAAGTGGGCCCAACAGGTGCCCATCTTAGAAGCTGGAGCTCACAGAGGTAGCAGAGCCAGTCAAGGGTGAGGCCGCCGGGTCACCAGACCATATCAGGCTCATCACCGTCTTAAGAACTTAGGATCCAGCAAGGCAGCGCTCCCTGCCCAGAGATGGCCGTGAGGCAAGGGAGCACATGGTAGAGGCCACCTAGAAGCCACAAGAATTCCAAGAAGGGCTGCATCTTCCTGGGGGTTCTTGGGGAAGTCGCCTAGCATGAAGGGACAGGGGAGATGTAAAGATGGGCCTCAAAGGCCCGCTGCAGAGAAAATCCAAATAGTCTTCCAGGAAAGAACTTCTTTATACACTAAATCATCTGCTTTAGCTTGGACTGGCCACGTTGGCAAAGATTCAGGGACCCCTTTTTGAGGTTAATATTCAACTGACAGAGGGAAACCCAACAAAAGAGAGGTTCCCTTTGTGGGTTCTGGAGTTAAGAGTCTTTGGGGTCAAAC